TATGGTATGCCGTTGGAATCCTGTTTTCCTGACAGCGTCGATTAGCTCTTTCCGGTGGAACAGACATCCAAGGTACTTTTGACCAGATACATTCCCGTCAGAATATCTCTTGCAGCTTTGATGTGATAACTCGTGCTATAACAAAGACAAGACGTACTCTAGTTAACATATATATAAAGAAAAGATAAAAGATAAAATGAGCTACCCTGACTGTAACACTGCTCAATGGTTTGGAAGTAGCCATGTCAGTTGTTCACTCGATACTGTTGAGTGGTTTTACTCTGGCCAGGACAAATCAGAAACGTAAGGTTCTTGCGGGCAGCGGTTTTCAGTTCATTGGTGACTGAAAGTATCACCACCATTGGTATATCCGAATTTCCGCTGTTTTTCATGTGACTCCTCGCCGGAGATGCACCGGAGTTGACGAACTCTCCGATAATCATTATATTAGTTATAACGTTTTAAACAGTCTTCTTTGCAGGTGTAGCCCGGCTCACCGAGTGACCATTGGATAGACAGCTCTTTTAGAGCCAGTACAATGAAGAATCAATGCTATGATTCGATGTTTTTTTAAATGGGTTAGATGCTACTAACCGCAACAAAGGCAATGTACAATACGTTACAGACAGATGACAACAAGTGGTCGATTTTTCGAATTCCAGCATTGATTACTTAAATTAGACTTCAATAGTAAATACTATATCACTGATCTTAAATTGTCGACGGACATCCAATTCATCAGAGGAACACAGAGTACAACGGAACTGGTATAAAACATACCGCGGAGAATTGCATCATAAAACACTCACTAACAGCCAAACTGAATATGATTGAGCGTAAAATCAAAGATGTGCTTTTAGGCTAGGCAAATAACTAATGGGAGGAAAAATATATACTCAATGTTCAATCAAATAAGTGATAGAACTGTTTAACTGCTCTATTATGTTGCAAGCAAACTGACCTCATTCGAAACTGGCTCGCTTTACCGAGAGAGCAGTGCATCCTGAGGACGTGCAGTGTAGAACACGGTAAGATCAACACGCAAATGCGGGTAACTCCCAGGTGATCAAACAACCACGTGTACAACAGCCTCACAGATGTTTTGATACTATCGACCAACAGTGTACCGTTTACTATCTGGTATGATTCTTGCTTTATCCGTCGGGGGTTCCTTTTCGCAACGCCAATTCGGAAATCCGTTCATTGAAAACACTACACTGGAAGGATTTTATCATGCGGTAATCGATTTATCAGGCCACGTTGACTGTATTTCAGTCCTACAAATCCATGGTAATCATTTGAATTCAGTGGCAAAGATAACAGGGATACAGATACCAACTAAATAAAATAAGCTATCGTTTTTGTAAACTTATAAAGAAGTTTATTTGGGGGTCTTCTTCCTATCAGTTAGCATAAGATGCCAAATACGGCACTGGTGTATTACAAGCAACATTCAAGGGGGCTGGTTTAGTGGTGAAAACCCGGATCTGGTCGTGGTTATGTAAGACAGATTTAGGGATGGATTGGCTGGGTTCGATCAGGATGTTAAATTGTTAGGTCGCGGTGACAAGCAATTAAACGTTTTTTTCTCAGCAGATCAGAAAAATCACCAGAGACTGGATAAACTCGAAAAGAAATGATGCAGGTGTAGAAAAAAGAACAACTAGCGAAATACTACGCTCTTCAAATTTTCTCACCTTGCTAATCTATATGATTATCGGAGCTGGTTCACGAATAAAGCTTATATAGTGATTGTGAAAAGTTCATAGCCTCGATGGGATTTCGTTATACTCCTCAATCCTTATATGAGCTGAGATCAGTCCCAAGAGCGGGCAGCTCCAAAACATGGATTCCACGAACAGTTACTTTTCTGTTTTGCATGATCCGTGTATTAGGGCGTCAGCGTGTAGGAAAAATCCTTTTCCATGTACATTTGCTTTGATCAACGATAAATGGTATGCTGCTACTTTCCAGGTTTGTCAAATGACCTGAGACGACCACGCAAAATGCAAATCAGACCATAATTTTTCGTCATGTTTTGCCTATGATTTGCAATTCCTTTCATTTTAGGACATCATTCACATTGAAAATTATCCGATCCGCTGAGGTTGAACGAATTTTCGTTATATAAACCTCTCGTCTACCCACCGATACAGTCGAACAAAAGTGGCTTTCGACCTACTGTAATCAATAGCACTGAGCGGCGTGGCCTCGTAGCTCAGCTGGTAGAGTGTGCGCGTACAAAGTGTAGGCGGCGTCCAGGCATGGACTCGAATCCCACTGAACTTTTCACAATCGCCATACAGACTTTAAATATGCCAAAAAGCAATCTGAATACAGCTTGGTCTATGGGGAAAAACCGAAGCAAACTGTTTTCTGTGTTGACACCTTGGTATTTAGTTGTATGTGCCCGTGAGTGGATACAGAAATAATGTTAGTGGGCTTCAATTAGTATTTTAACTGCGCGGGACTAAACGTATGTATTTAAAACATTCAGAAGCGTTAAATTCAAGACTGAAATGATCTGAAAATCTTTGTATTTTGATAAACTATCAGATAACGACTCCATTTCATACAGATCTAAGATGGCCCTACGTAGAACCGCAGT